AGAGGGGAGGGCGGCTCGACTGGGCCCTGGCAGCCATGGGCGCGGGCGGCGAGGGCGCCCGTAGAGCAGGGGCTACATCGCATAGGAGCAAGAAGGGCAACAAAAGGGTTCGCGGCCCGTACGAGAACAAGCCGCCCAACCTCCTCGGACCGGAGGCGGTTCGAGGGAGCGCCCGCCCGGAGGACCTCACTTTGACGGACCTCAAGACGCGCGAGGATTGGGAGAAAGCTAAATTCGAGGTCATCCTCGATAAGCTGGCCAGCTCCACGATCAAGTCGTACAGCATTGGCTGGAGGTGGTGGACTCTCTTCTGCCGCACGAGGGGAATCAGCCCGCTTCGCGAGATCACGCCCGAGAGTAGGAGGAATGAAGAGGAGCTGTTGCTGGAGTTCGTCATCCACCTGGCGCGCCGAGGCTGCAAGAAGGCGGGCGCCATCAAGCAGTACCTGAGCTCGGTCCGGGCCCAGCACCTCGCGCTCGGCATGGGAGACATCGCGGAGGGCGCGGGCAGGCTCTGGATGGCGATCGACGGGCTCAGGAGCAGGGACGGCGGCACCAAGCGCAAGAAGCCGGTCATTCCCCGCATGATGAGGTGGATTAGGCGGAAGTTGCAGCCGGAGAGGTCGAGGGAGGGCGCGGCTCTGTGGGCCGCAGTGGCCACGGGCTATTTTTTCCTCTTGAGGGCCAGTGAATACGTCTCGAACGACCAGAACGGTTACATGGGTGGCACGGGTCTTCGGGGAGCGGACGTTACCCCAAAGGCGACCGGCGAGCCGACTCGCGTGTGGGGCGAGGCGAACGAGGTCGTCATCAAGATTCGGGCCAGCAAGACCGACCAGTACAACAGGGGCGAGTGGCGCAATCACTTCCGCATCGTGGTCGCTGAGGACGCAGATCGAGCTGAGCACATCTGCGTGGTGGAGGCGATCGAGATCCACGCGGGCTGGGCCAATGAGAGGTTCTCAGGCGCGCAGATGCACGACCCCCTGTTCGCCTTCGACGACATGCACCTGGTGGCGCGGGCTGACGTCCAGCGAGTGGTGATGCAGTCGGCGGTGGCGGAGGGCATGGACCCGAACGACTTAGGCTCGCACAGTCTGAGGATCGGAGGAGCGTCGGCGCTGCATGCGGCGTTCAAGGACACCGCCTTGGCGCAGCGCCGGGGCAGGTGGAACAGCGACGTTTTCCAGGGATACCTGTGGGGGCGCGCGGCATGGCAGAGGGGGTTGCCAGCAGCATGGCGGCCACTGACATCACGATGGTCTGAGAGGTTGCGCCGTCGCGTTGGTCTGAGGTTCAGAGCGCGTGGGCAGCGGGGGCCGATCAGGCCTGATTTGAGAGCGCAGGGGGGCCTCGAGGCTGGCAGTGCGGCGCCAGGTGCGCGGCCGCGAGGGCATCTGTCGCGGCGGAGGCACCGCCAGGAGTGCTGGGTTGCGCGGGGCCAGGCCCCCCCCCACCAGTGCGCGCGGGGGCCCTCGAGGTGGGCCCCGCGGCGCGCAGGAAGGAAGGCAGGCGCCGCGGCACTGGACGCTGCGGCTGCGGGCGGCTGGAGGAGCACGTTGGGGAGTGCAGCGGCGGCAGGGAAGGCCGACCGCAGAGCTCGCGCCCGCGGGCCGCACCGCGGGCGCCACCAGGCCATGAGAGGAAAAGGGTGCTTCTCTCAGGAGGTTTGAAGGCGAGGGGGAGGAGGTTTGTCGGAGGCGGCCTGAGGGCTCAGGGCCAGCAGGCCCAGGCGAGCCCGATCCGCTTGAGGTTTTGAGGCGGAGAGTCCAGGAGGAAACGTGATCGTTCGTGAAAACAATGGGTTTCCCCCCGCCTCGTAGCCCCCTCTCTTGCTGTCCTCCCCCGCCGCCGTTTGCTCGAGGCTCCTGCGGAGCCGCGAATGATTTGTGGGTCCCACCCACCCACGCCAGAGGGGTGGGGCCCCAGCCGAGTTTGCTCGGCGGGCCCCACAAGGGGGCTCGCACGCGCTTGCCGCATAGCGGTCGGCGCGGTCTTCGCCCCCCGCGAGGCTTCTCGCGGGGGGTGCAGCGGCGGCAGGGAAGGCCGACCGCAGAGCTCGCGCCCGCGGGCCGCACCGCGGGCGCCACCAGGCCATGAGAGAAAAAGGGTGCTTTTCTCAGGAGGTTTGAAGGCGAGGAGGAGGAGGTTTGTCGGAGGCGGCCTGGGGGCTCAGGGCCAGCAGGCCCAGGCGAGCCCGATCCGCCTGAGGTTTTGAGGCGGGGAGTCCAGGAGGAAACAAGATGGATCTCTCCCCTGAGAGGCGGATTGCTCACCGCGCCCATGGTGTGGGCTGGATAAAGGCAAGCGTAGTCGAAAGACGCAGCGCCGCTACATACCTTCTCGCAGGTAAACTATTAAGAACATGGCCTTCAGGTCACCAGATGAACGCGATTCGAACTTCGACCGAGGTCCCATGCGTTATGGGCCAGGGACACCGGCAGGGGCCACGGCTCTGGCAACTCCTAAGCCAAAGCCAGAGGCGATCATCGATATTCGTCCATCTTCGGGTTCATCAAGTCCATCGCTTGGTCCTGATCAGTTCAGACCCAAAAGAAGAGGAAGAGCCCAGGTGATCCTACCCCTGGAGACAGCAAACAGTAGCGATCTGCGGGGCAACCTGTTGACCGACAACGATCCAGAGGACCGGCAGTGGCTGCCGCTGGAGCTGCATCTCAGGGCACCAGTACCCCTGCTCCAAAGGAACCGTGCCACGTCGCGGCCCCGCGCCAGGTCGGGCGCGCAGGACAGGATGGGTGCCCACGCTGGAAGGACGAACAAGGGGTGCTTTCTCAACGAGGCGTGGCACTGAAAAAGCTACTGGCCACCTCGTCGAAGGTGGCGTTGGCGCCCAGGCTCGCGGCGCGGTGGTGGCGTCCGTGGCTGGCGCTGCGGCGTTGGCGGAGAAAGGCCACACTTTCCCCCCCCCCACATTGCTCGGGCGGCGGCGGCGGCGGTCAGGTTGGCGACCCTTTTTCCTCCGGGGGGTGGGGGGTCCTCGAGCTGAGGTTCAGGCCCTTGCTGGCAGGCATCACAACTGCCCTAGCGCCCTCTGAGCAGGCGTACCTAGATGGTTCGCCCTGGCCCCAGGCCAGGGAGCATGCGGGGCGGCCAAAGGACGCGCACTGCATTCTCATTTTCGTGATTGTTGCAGGGTCGGTTTGCAGGGCTTGCAATGTATTGCAGGGTCTGGTTTGCAGGGTACTGCAGGGTGCTGCAGGCCCGTTTTGCATGTATTGCAGGGTCGTGGAATCGGCTTTGCTTGAAAGGCTTTGCAGGGTAGCGGCGAAGTCCAGGGGAGGGGGCAGGGAGAGGGGTTGTTCTTGGAAGAGAACGAACTCGCTAAACCACGCAAGCCCTGAGGGCGAAAAGGCAGCTGATTACAGCATCTAGGCCCAGTGGGTTGGTGGGATTAGCAATCTACAGAGGGAAACGTCCCAAAGCGTTTCAGCCCGAAGGGCTGGTGGGAGGACTGCAAGTCATTTGGAGGGGATTGCAGGGTATTGCGGGCTCGATCGCAGGGTACCGCAGGGTCGTGTTGCAGGGTATTGCAGGGCTTCGCAGGGTCTTGGAATCGGTTTTGCATGGGCGGCTTGCCTGGTATTGCACGGTGCGCGGCGCGATCTAGGGGAGAGTAGGGAGAGGGGTTCGATTAGGAATCTGGAAGAAAAAACGCGCTAGACAACCTTTGGATTCCATGGATCTCCTTTTGCAGCAGCGCTTTCCACTCTGCCCATCATAGGTTGTATTCAGGATCGTGGTCCTGGGAACACCGATTCGGTATGTTTAATATTACTGGCCCTGAGAGCGAGGGTATTTTCGCATTGTCTGAAGGATTCTTGCCGCGGTGGCGAAGTCTTCCCACTTCGTTCGCAATCCTAGGCCCACAAGTGTTGGGGGAGCACGGTCCTGATGTGGTGAAAATATTTGTTCGGGTCTTGGGAGCGCGTTCCGAACTTTTGAACATGAGGAATAATAACCAGTCCTGGAGTGCTGCCAAGCTGATCGCCTGCGAAGAATGCAGTTGTGTTCCTTCGCCTGCTTCTGCGCGTGAGGCGTTCCAGACAGGGCCTCTCGCTCGAGGATCGAAGGAGTTGTCAATTCCTCCTCGGCGGAAGGCGGCGGAAAGTCAGCGGAATCCCACGTAAGTAAGGCAGAGGTAGCTCCTCCGGCGGAAGCTTGCGAAGGCCGGCGGAAACTGGCGGAAATGCAGGATGCGTCCCCAAGAGATGGCCACGTTTTTGGGTTCAGGGTTTCTTGGATCGGTCGTGCATGCCCGCAGCCTTCGGCTCAGGTCATCGGCGCAGGGGCCGGCGACCGCCTGGGGTGCCGCGAGGCTCCTGATGGGCCTGTTTTTCACCATCACCACCATAAGTGTGAGGGGAAGGGGGTCCCCCTCCACCTCCTCCTCCTCCTCCTCCTCCTCCTCCTCCTCCTCCTCCTCCTTTTCGTCGTCCTCCTCCTCGTGGTCCTCCTCCTCCTCCTCCTCCTCCTCCTCCTCCTCCTCCTCCTCCTCCTCCTTTTCGTCGTCCTCCTCCTCCTCCTCGTCGTCGTCGTCGTCGTCCTCCTCCTCCTCCTCCTTCTCCTCCTCCTCCTCGTCCCTCCCTCCAACTTATGGTGGTGGTGGTGGAAAACGCGCCCATCAGCTCCTGCGCCGGCGGCGGGCGGCTGGCGCGCTGAGGCAGGCCCGCCGCCTCGCGCCCGATGCTCCGCGGCGGCGCGGCCGCACATCTGCAGGACGAGGACTGCGGCAGAGGGCCCCGCGCCGGCGCTGGGGGCGTCGGGAACGCGGCGTTCCTGCTGGGCGGCCATCGCGGCCCGCGGCAGCTCCAAGGCGCCGCTGGCGAACGCGGTGCAGGCACCCCCACCGCCCGAGGTCCGGGGGCGCCGGCGCCAGGGGCGGCGCCCCTGCCGGGCGCCCGCGGGCTGGGCGGCGGGTGGGCGCCCTCGGCGCCGTGTGGCGGAGCGGCGGGGTACCCCGCCGCCTTCGCCTCCGCCAGGCGCGCGTGCCCATCGGGTGCGATTACCGCCGTCGGCCCTTCGGGTGCGGGGCCGCCCGCAGCGAGGCCTCTGATCGCGCGCGGGAGCCTCCCACAAGCACGCGCGCAGCACTCGCCGCCGCCGCGCCCGACGGGGTCGGCGCCGTCGCGGGGCGGGGCGTGCAGCCCGCCGCCTCCCACGAGGTGCCCGTCGCCGCCCACTGGCAAAGCAGCGGCGCCGTTGGACGGGCCGCAGGTGGGCCACCACGTGGCTAAGGTTGGCGAGGCACCGTGGGCTTGGAGTGTCTCCTGCGCAGGGTGTGGCGCAGGCCCTGTGGCGGGCGAGTCCACTCTGCACGCGCCGTGGATGCAGCCGCCAAGGATGTCGCCGCGCCCAGACCCCACCGCCTTCCCTGTCGCCAGCGATCCAGCCCTCCTCCCCATGCGACTGGCGGCCGACACGCTGCTACACTCGGGACGACTGGCTCATCAGAACATGCGCCAGATACCACAGCCTGGCGGCCATGCCAACGCTGCGGACGCTCGAGCCCACTCGCCCCCGAGCTCACGCCTGGGGGTGGCACGTGCCGACCCGCCCTCAGGCGCCCTGCGGCCTGGCGAGGGCTGGTGGCCGGCGGCCACGCTGCCGCAGAGGCTGCCCGTGAGCCTCGGGTGGTGCCAGGAGAGTGGCACTGCCCCCGCCCCAATGCCGAGCCCAGAGGCGTGGACGGCCCCTTCGCCGAGCCTGCCGCTGGCCTCCGCAGGGCCGCCGGCCAGCCCAGCGCCCGAGACGCCTGGGTCGCCAGGACGCTTGCTGCGGACTCCTGCGTTCCCGCCACCGCCCTTGCAGGGCGCGGCAGCCTGCCAACCGCACGAGCTGAACATCGGACTTCCGGGACTGCTGCAGAGGATGCTCAGCGGCGAACCAGCCCAGAAAGGGCTGCCGCCACACGGCGCGTGTGTAGGCGGCTGGGCTTGCGGCGGCGCGGAGCACAACCCCGCGCTGCCGCCAGGCGCACTTTCGCCACCAGGCGCGTCGTTGCCCAGCCCGCAGCACTCGGGCGCGCTGCCACCCGGCGTGCCGCCGATCGCCGCGCCGCTGCAGCCGTTCGCCCCGCCGCCAGGGGTGCCTTTGCCATTTAGCAAGCCGTGGCCTGGCGGGCCGCATGGCGGCTGGCCCTTGGGGCCCGGGGCGGGCGGGCCACAAGAAGCGCCACCCGCCAGCCCCGGGCTACCGAGGCGCTTCGCGAGTCTGCCCCTGCCACTGCCAGCGCCGCAACCCCCGGCCCCGGGGTTAGGGTCGAACATGTCGCTCTCCGCACTGCCGCTGGCCGCGTCGGCCCCGCCGCTCGGGGCGCCGCTGCCGCCCTCGCCCGTGCCGCCAGCCAAAGCGCCACCGCCACCTGTCCCCGAGCGGAGGCTCAGTTTCCACGGCTTGCAGGGCCCCGCAGCGGCCGTAGTAAGTGGCGGCTGTGCCTCCTCGTCTTTCAGGGCCGCCTCGCCACCGCCAGGCAGCGGCTTGTGCGGTCAGCGCAGCCCGCCTCTCGGCCAGCGGCTGCCGCGAGCGTCCTGGGGCAGTGGTGGCGATGGGCTTGGTATGGCACCGGCTTGGGCTCCCCAAGGCGCCCCCGCGGTGTACAATGGCGTTTGCCAGGCGCAGGCGTCCCCCGCGGGCTCCAACGAGTCCGCGTGGACGGACATGGAGGAGGAGGAGCGGGTGCTGCAGGAGCTGGAGCGCAAGCCCGAGGAGGAGAAGTCGGCCATCGTGCTCTTCGCTGAGGGCCTGCTCGAGCAGCGGGTCAGCCGCGAGAAGAGCAGGAAGCGCGAGCAGGCGCAGCTTCTCCAGCTTCAGCTGGGCTCGCTGGCGGCCCGCGCCGGCCAGTCGCAGCTGGCCTGCCAAGCTGCGCCCCAGCCGGCTGCGCCGTGGCAGCCGCTGGGCCAGCCGCTGGGCCGCGCGCGGCCGCCGCAGTAGCTATCCACGGCATGTCCGCGTGGCAGCCCCCTCTTGGCGTGGGCTGCGCCCGGGCAGCAGATCTCCATCTCTGCGGCCTCAGCGCGGCCGTCCTGGCCTAGGCCTCCCACGCGGGGTCCGAGTACGCAGGTGGGGTCGGCGCAGATCGCACCGCATCGCCGATGTATCGGCGATGCGGCTTGATGTGGAGCCCGATGATCTTTATGCCGACGTCGCCGATGCATCGCCGACGTCTCCGTTGCAGCGCCGATGCATCGGCGCTGCATCGGCGCTGCGGTGCGCTCGTCCGGCCCCGTCTGCTCGGACCCCGTTTGGGAGGCCTCCACCGACGCGGCGGTGTTTTTTGGCGTGCGTGCCGCACGCCCGGCCGTCAAGACCCCTCCCTGCCACAAGGGTCTGCATGGGTGTGCCCCCAGAGCCATCCGCGCCAAATCGCGCCCACGGCCTAAAGCTGGCCAGAGCGCCCGATTGCGTCGACGCCTCGAAAGGCTACGTGCTCGATGAAACTGCTTGCCCACCCTCTACCTCCTCAGCCTCCTCGTCCTCGCTCTCGTCCTCGCCCTCCTCTTCTTCTGCGCCCTTCTCATCCTCCAAGTGTGTCTCAACAAAGGCTGGCTGGTGTATGGTTATGTGCTCAAGTAGCCTAAGGAATGCACACTCATGGAGAAAGCAATGAGCGCAGCGCTGCAGAAGTAAGCTGAGCATATTCAGAAGTCATGCTCGTTCATACACCCTCCCAGGACATGACACGGCGGGCCCCGAAAAGGGTGGGTCCGGACCTCACCCTGCGCTCGTCTGGGGGCCCGCAGCATCCCACCAAGATGGTCCAACAAGGCCGCGAGGCGAGAGGGTCTCGTTTGGCACCCAGGGGGCCTCGAGACCACACGAGGGGCTCCGAAGGCCTTCTGAGAGCTGGATCCCTCGGGTTTGCTCCAGAGGGCAAGTTTGGGAGATTTCGGGGGCGGCAAAGAGGGGGGTGATGACTAGGGGGGGGGATATCATGGCGGGGGCCATGCTATTTCCCCAGATTTCTTGGCGCCTCTTCTTATGTCATTACGTCCCTGCCCCCCCCGCTGGGCTGCGCACATGCCGCCGGCCATGATTTGCACCACCCCTCTTGGACGCCCCCCCTCTTGGCCGCTCCCGAAGATTGGGGGGCCACTAGCCGTTCAGTGACGAAAGTTGCTCAATGCTTGTGGTTTGGAGAGGTGATGTTGCTCTGTCCTGCCGTCCGCAGTGCCATCGAGGGTACGGGATCGATTGAGGGAGTGCGGGGAAGGAGAAGGATGATGAGGAGGAGCAGCAGCAGTAGCAGTAAGAAGAGAAGGGGGACGAAGAGGGAGACCAAGGCGAGCAAGGGGGCACAGGGCAAAGGGGCGGTGGGGGAGGGGAAAAGGGAAGGGAGAAGGAGAGTGGGGACTCCCGTGGTTCGAGACATCTGCTACTTTGGAGAGCACCAGCGGTCAATTGGACAACGTCCGCCACAAGATTCATGGATTTACACGGCCAAGCACAGGGACGAGCCTAGCACTGCAGAGCCTGAGTCAGATGCACGGCTGGGTAACCAAGCGGCGGATTGACATGCGGGAGAGTCAGCCCTCCAGCACGCGCTTCCTCTGCATTGCAATCCGACTCGAGTCTGGCATGTTTTCTGTCCCGACCCATTGACCTACTGGCAGTCTGAAATTGGCCTTCTGAGCACGACAGTTTGGATCCTCATCCACGATCCGTTGCCAGCCCGAGCTCGGCATCCGATCATCGTTTGTGTTCGTACTTCTCTACTGGACATCCGCCTCAGAGACCCCGATCAGTCAGCAGGGGCAGACCAGGCGATGGACAAGTGCAAAGCTACATCAAGAGGCCCCCACCGATGCCCCACAGGGCGGCGCAGACGCACTCAGGATACCGTGTGCCGCCCACCAGGCAGCAGGATCAGGTCGCCTACCGCCAGGACGTGCAGAGCCACATGGATAAGGTTGCGAACATGTCCATCCTGGCACGCAAGGCCAGCAAGATAGAGGATGCAGAGAGAAATGGCATGGAGCTTATGGTGCTCAAGAGCGCGCTGGCCAGCTTGCAGCCAGTGCGAGAGCAGAAGAGAGAGGTCTACAATATCGACCAGACCAGAGACAAGCTCCAGACGACGCAGAGCAGGATGAAGGACTTCAGTGTTCAGGAGCAGGGGCTAGAGATGCAATTGGCCCAGCCCGAGAGCTGCATCAACGAGCTGAACGAGATGCCAGAAGAGCCAGAGGAAGCACCACAGGCGGCACCGCATGGCGTGTGGCATGCTGGGCAGCAGCAGCCGCAGCAGCAGCAGCAGCAACAGCCACAGCCTTGCCCACCACATGGTCAGGGCTTCCAGGCACCGCAGTATTTCCAGATGGGTGTGGACGCCCTAGTGTCCCCGAACGGAAGGTTGCTCCCGCAGCGGAACGTGCCCATGGCAGTGGACACGATGCCAGCCATGCCTCAGGCTCTGCAAGGGATGCAGCAGCGTCCAATGCAGCCGCAGCAGCAGCAGCAGCCGATGCAGCAGCAAGCACCACAGCAGCAGCAGCATATGCAGATGCCGTGAGAGCTCCTGGGCTTCATGAAAATGATGAGCGACAAGCAGGAGAGACAGTACATCATGATAAACTCAATGATGGGCTGGATACAGGCGCAGACGGCAGCAGCGGCGGGGTTTCGTCCACCAGATACGGCATCACGCACAGCGATACCAGCCCCGCGAAAACCAGCAGCTATGTTGGCAGCGCCTGGCACACCCATCGGGGGCACGGCCACGCCGCAGCAGAGGAATAATCATGGCATGTCCCCGACCATCCCCACAGAGCAGCCATCGCCGTTGCTGACGCCCACGGAGGCGGCGGGGACCCAGGGACCCAGTGGTTTTACGCAAGCGCCTGCAGAGAAGGAGGAGCCGATGAGTTTCGATCCACAGATGGTGAAGCCACCTGCTTGGGCAATGCCAGTCGAGCCCATCTCACCGACGGAGCCTTTGGGCACCCAGAAGGAGGTTCCGCACCTAGTGATGCAGGCACCGTCATCGGCCACACATCCCGACGAGATCAAGAATGTCAAAGGAGAGGTAGAGAAGATGGCGCAGCTCAGCACGTCTCAGATCGAGAGGGAGGTCGCCAGCATCGAGGCAGCCTGCGCAGCGGCGGGCAGGGAGACAGCGAAGGCCATCAGGATCCCGCCCTCGAAGCTCGCCAAGACCGAGAGCTTGGGGGGCGCGTGAGAGCGCCGACGCAGGTCAGTAGTGATGAGATGGTTGCTATTTAATAATTTTCCGGCCGCCTTCGGCCCACCTTCGGATTCAGTTTTGGGCGCCGAGCCAGGTTCGGTTCGAAATCAACCGGCCCCGGGCATAGGTCGGAAGGTCTCGTTCAGCTCGCAGCTCGAGCATCGAGGAGGTAGGTCTAACGAATCCCTGATGTTGGGAAGTGCATAGGGTTCCCCCTTTACGTAATCCGAGGATGTCGATTCTTAAGAGAAACGACTTCCCGTCGCGCGCGGGTGCAAACATTGCAAATTCCAAATACAGGTCGGGGGGCAGACATCTTCGGGGGGCACTTCTCCTGCGCCTACTTCGACTGAGCAGCGCGACAGCCAGACACCTAGCAGACGCGGAAGTCAAGCAGGGAGTTCTTGCATTATCATGGGCACGGGTCGCACAATTAGCATGAAGTTTGACGTTATGCCGAGACTTCGGGAGTTGGTTCAGGGGCGCAGGGTCAGCCCCAACACCTACAGCTAGAAGAACTCCAAGCAACAGGACTTCTAGAGCCCGAAGCAGCAGCCACCTCGACAGCGCGAAGATGCACTGTCAGATGCCGGCCACTCCTTCACGGACGGCTCGCTTTACCAACTAGGGGAGGGGATGGGGGCATGGGCAGTGGCGATGATCAGGGAAGTGGGCGAGGTATATGTCTATGGGGGGGGGGGGGGGGGGGCGTGGGGGGCTCGCCGCCGCCAGCTCGATGGGCCTCGAACCGTCCAGCGCCGCGAGCACCACGCTCGAACTTTTAGCTTGCTTGCGCGGGCTCTTCTGGGTGCTTTCGGAGAAGCCCCAGTGCGACGCCACCTTCGATAGTGACAGCGCGTCTAGCATCAGGGCCGCCAGGGGGGGGGGGGCAGTCTACCTGCTACGGATGTTAGGCTTGCTCAGTTAGTCCAGGTGGTCTAAGGCCTCGTTCGGGGCTCTCAGAGCGTTGCCCTGGAACGCGTGAAGGCCCACTGTGGCCACCCGTGGAATATCATTGCAGATGCGTCGCGAAGATAGTTGCGCGCTCCCTCGGTCCCGTGCCCCCCCCCCCCCCCCCCCCGATGCCTAGGTCCAGGCGGTTGATTTCAGGGGCTCCAGATTCTGGGAATGGGCCCTGGAAGAGGGCAGCGATGCCCAGGCCTATCCCGATGTTCAACAGGTTGGCGACAGCATTCAGGTCTCGGGCATGAGGCCGACTTGCCAAGTGGAGTTCAGCAGTGGCCATGAAGACCAGGGCGCGGTCTCTGGGAATATGCGTGCAGCGGTTGAGTTTTAAGATAGCGACCTTTAATACCCAGTCAATTAGAGCGGAGCATCGCCGCGGCGCGAAGGGCAGGAATCGCGCGAGAAGGGCCGCCGCTTTGAGGTCGCAGCTGCGCCGCAACGGAGTTCACATCATAGGGGTACAAGAAAGTAGAAATAACAAGGAGACTAGGAGAGTTGGGGATCGGGTGCGCATATCATCCGGACATGATAAGTACTCGCTTGGTTGCGAACTGTGGGTTGATGTGAGCTCGCCATATGGCGCCATGAAGGGCAAGCCCTTCGTGCTGTGTCTTCAGCAAATTCGAGTGATGTGGGCCTCGCCGCGCATTCTCGCATGCCGCATAGACGCCACTGCTGTCAATTTGAACACCCTCATGGCCCATGCTCCACACTCAGGTAACAGTGCCAGTGATAGGAAGGCCTTTTGGGAAGATATGAGA